CACCTAGTTCCATCTACTTCCGTCATTGTTAATAGCTAATGATGGAGTTATGACTCAAAAGATATGAATACTGTTTCTTTCTTAGGATTTGAAACTTTTTCTTAAATTTGAACTGGATTTGAAATTGAACTTTCGGATATTACAGAATTATTACAGATTCTGTAAAGCTTTCATGAGGCAATCCTTCCATCAACTGTAAATCTGTACTCAGTAAACAGCATTTACTGCTAAATAACTCACAATTTACAGTTATGCATTTCAAATTACTTTAACGAAAACCGCCCACACACGTAGGCGTGACATTTTCAAAAATAATGCCCCGTGGATGAAATATTTTCACTCTAAGTCCAGCACATTAACCGAAAAGAAGGACATAGTAACCTAGCGAAACTATGAGAAATTTAGCAAACATTGCTTGAACCTCGGGTTTTAAACTGGTTTGCTAAATTTCAGAGTGTGGCGATAGGGGACATTGATTGTTTCTGTGTGTTACTAAACTTTACCTATTATGAAAATTAGGATCCTCGCACGGTATGAAATCAGCAAAATTTGTGGTATTAAGTATGAGTGATGCGTGCACTTTTCAGATATTTGAAGGGGAAAGTTTGTGTGTGGAAGTGTATGACATAAAGGTTATTACATTTCATATCTTAATTAGCGAATTCAAATGATACTTTTGTACTATATTTATTTGAGTGATCCGTCTGTGCCATATAAAATAAATTCAAAAAAAAAAAAATTAAATTTGGTATTAAATAATTACGGAAGTTTAATTAGTTTTAATAGTTATAATAGTCTAATAGTTTTAATCTTCTGCACTTTGATTCTTTCTAGAAGTATTAATTTTTTAACAGTTTTTCTTACCAACCTGAGAATTCTTAATATTAAAACTACTAGAAGATTTTTTGATTTCTTAATTAGCATAGTTTCAAAAAAGTGATAAAGAACCTAAGTGATTATAAAAAATCTTTAAATATTTGTTTTCAATTTCTGTAATGTTTTCAAATGAGAATGATAATACGCAGTAGTTTATGAAGTACGAAACCATACATATCATTTAAAACTAATCAAAGAGTAACATTTATTCGAATTCCTCTGAAATTATTTTGGCGTAGTTTTTGGAGAATCTCACAGTATATTACAGAAATGCTATGATCCGGTCAGAAATGCTATGATCCGGTCAGAAATGCTGTGACCCGGTCTGATCTGATCAGTAATACTATGATGGCACTCAATCATAATAGAAAAGAAATACATTTGATAATAATTACAATCGACGATCGCTAGTCACAGTGTTATTTAGTATGATTGTGTTCATAACTTTAATAAATATATCGAACTATGCAAACAATCTTTTCCTCATAAATGCACTGAATGCCTGTGATTGAAATTTCTTTTCAGCCATATTTTTTTCGTTAAACATAGAGTTCGATCAATTTTTTGGACAGTAAATCCCAAATAAGTTGAAAAGGCTAACAAATTAAACAAAAAAAAAAAAAGCAAAACAAATATTATGAATAGCGCAAATCCATTTTTGCAATAAATTTCGTTTTTAAATTTCAAACTTTTTTTTAAGCAACCAGCTAAAATGGATAATTTTTAGTAATATAACATAACATATCATTAACTTTTTAGCATTTAACTTTTTTACATATAGCATTAACTTTTTTTTTACGATCAGTTATTGACTAACTTAGATGGTTAAAATTTAAGGAAATATTAGAGGAAAATTTATGCTATCGAAACTTCTACCAAATTAAGTAGAAAAAGCGGCGTTACTTTTTATTTTTATTATATCAGTTAACAAGTATGTGAGTTATCAGCCAGTCATTTTCATTTCTACCAAAAAGATAGAGTTATTTTAGAAATAATTTAATGAGTCAGTTTTCTGAAGTATAGTTTCAGGATTGAAGTCTATTGAAGTGCAAAGATTTCTAGTATGAAAAATTGGAGCCTTAAAAGTTTGGTTATTGTTTGGATTATAATTTATTTCGAGATCGACTGCATGAATTTTTTGTCCTGAAACTTCAAATGGACTGATCTTTGGATTATAAAATGCTTACTATTAACCTTTTTAATCTTTTTTTTTATAACTCATTTAGTCGTCACTGTTTGATAATACTTTTATGCAAATCATTTAGATGCATTTTTATATGCTTTTCGTAAAATAATTGTAATTTATTCAGCATAAATTTAAAGAATTTTTCAAATTTCTTTCAAAAATATCAATTTTAGATGTCACATACATGATTAATTTATCGGAAGTGTGCAAAATTGTTTATTTATGAAATTGCTCATCCTGATCTAAATTTGGCGAAAGAAGAAAAATACAAAATATTAATTTTGAATTACTTCATGATTATCAATGAGAGTATCATTTTAATTAATAATATAACTTTATATAACGCAAGCTAAAGACAATCCACAATGTTGTTTATTCGGGAATTTACAAATATTATTTTTCACATGTTTACTTTATATTGTAATGTGAGCACTTCTTTAATTCATGATATTCCGGAATTACATCTTTCATAACCTTATTTTTTTAACAATGGCTTTTTTGTTGAATAAATATCTTTCGGTCATTAAAGATTCAAAATTCCTAACACTCCAGAATACGACCAAAAATAAAGACCATTATCTTAACTGTTTCAACAATTGAATCAATAAGAATATTGGTAAACAGTTTGATGAATCAAATCTCTAATGACGCGGAAGATATTCAAGAACCGTTATGAACGATGTACTTCCGGAAGGCTTAATATTCTTAGTTTCAATGAATCATTGTTTTCATTGTTTGTAGTGGGAAAAGGACTTGTAGCTGAGTCTTCTTAAAGTGAAGCATTCAAAATTTAAAATGAAATGATTGTATGAAAGATTCAAAAAGCAAAACTGAAAAGTGAAAATGATAACAAATGACCAGGACAGGAAATGTAGGATTCAAACATCATTCAGTGCTAAAGTAAAAGTAAAAAACATTAATATATCAAATTTCATTTTTAATTTTATATATTCCATCCATCTATACTTTATTCTACAGTATATTCTTCATTGTCATGCGCTTCTTAAGTTTATCTCTCTTCCTCTATTTGCTTCATCAATTAAGCATTTTCCAGGTGTAAGTCACAAACGAGAAAAAGCGTACGGAAGAATTTGAAGCAAAAATTCTCTCAATTTAACTTATTCAGATTTCCTAAATCACGAATTGGTGGTGTAGCATTAACAGAGCAAAAGCTGTTCAAAGAATGAAATAATTTGTGAAATTCGAAATAGTCATGGATAATTTAAGTGAGCAATTGAAGATCAAGTTTTGCATTATGAGAAATGTTATCATCGATCAGTGTTTATAAAATACTAATAAATTTTAAACATTTTGCTTAACCCAATCTTTTTGGAAAAAAAAAAAAAACTAAACTATTTAATTTCAAGAAGAAATCTATTTCAGGATAATACTGAAGAAATTAACAGTAGTGTTGATAATCCGATATTTGCATATAACTGGAACGTAATTCTTCTATTACTTGAAGTGTTTAATCTCCGTTAGTTGTTTTAGTGTTATCAGTTCTTAAGAGCATGGATTATTTCGTGATCAAAAACTTTCTAATTAACATATTTTGCTTAGTTAACAGAAAAAGAAAAGAAAGAATGAAATATTTATTATCTTTGACTTTTAGTAATTCCTTTTTTTTTTGATTTGAATATTACCAGGTAAATATTATTATTGTTGACAAGTTTGTCAAGTAAGCAATTTTATTACTATAATCGAATTTATTGATTGCAGATTAATCATTCTATGACATTTCAACGAAATGATAATAACGATCCATCGTAATCAGTATTGATTAGTGATCATAAAGCTCATGAATATGCAATTGAAATGAAAGAAATGATAAGCAATTGCTGATAATTATTCAATTATATCATTTGAGAAGGGAATTAGATACGGTAAAGCTGGAACCTCGAAATATATCATAAGTATTCAACATACTATCTCAATAATTACCCAAATTATTTATTGAGCATTTATTTCATATCATCGATTCTTGCAATGTACTTTCAGGGGACATTCCTTTGACAGCATCTTTTGACAGTGGTGACACTACGATGACATTTTCTTTCACTTTGAAACTGGCGTATACTTATTGTCAGTGTAATGTATTATTACAAAAGGCGTATGGTATGCTGTACTGGTTTCACTCTTCTGTGTGATATCATTTTGTTAAGATAATCGTGATAAGTTGATAAGATTTTCGATTGTTTAGTTGATAATGGCAACTTTTTTTCGATAAATATGTGAATAATAAGAAGTCCACTCTAGGAATAACAAACCTGTGATTTTAAATAGATTAAAGCCGACTTTTGGTTTAACGGAAGAAAATAACTTTTTCACCTTTTTTTTAACCATAAATCTAATCATCCGAATTCAATTTTCTAAATTTATAATTTTCATTTTTTTGTCTGTAATTAATTACCATTAACTAATTTTAATGATTTCATCTGCAATTAATCTCACTAAGTTAATTTTTCCTGTAATTATTTCCCAATAAATATATATTCCCAGCAAAGGAAAGGCGAAATTAGCAGACTTACTTGAACGTGAAAAAGAAACGAAATGAAACGATCACATATTCTATGTTTGCCATTCATGTCAAGGACTGTACTTTATGTTGTAGCGTGAGTCACGTTACCACGCACGTCTCTTTCATTACTTTAACAACGGATAGAATAGTCAGAACTAAGAAAAAGTGAAATCAACATAATTCACCTTAAATCATGAAATATTTCCATTTAACTCAGAAAAAAAAAACTCTTAAGTGCACTTTTATAGCAGATTTCTCCTTTACAGGATAAAACGATTGTTATCTTTTAATAACTGCTGCGTAAGCGTAACGTATTCAAATGGCACATTTTCTTTTCCAAACATTAATCAACAATGAATGCCATTCAATTTTTTTTTTTTTTTCAATAAATCGATTTGAAAATGTTTACAATCAGATCATATGGCATATACACAACAATTATTGGATGTGAAATTCAATTTGGATAATACTCCCTATAAATCAATTGAAAATATTGGCACTGGAACATATGGAGTGGTATGCAAAGCATTTGATCAGGTGAATTCATTATAATTATCTCTATTAATTATTCATTCATCGAAATCAAATGAATTCTTTTAATACTTTCAAACAAAATTTTGATATCATTTAAAATTGAACTTTTATTTCATCCTTATATAAGGTCAGTATTATTAAAGTTTGTTATAAAAGTTTACATTTATTTCGTTTCTTTTTATGTAAAAAGAACGTAAACTTTTCTGCATGTAATAATTTTTTAGCGAAATGATCGAAAAGTAGCAATAAAGAAGATAACTCGAGCATTCTCAATTGCAGTCCTTCTGAAAAGATCACTTCGTGAGATACGTATACTGCGATGTTTACGTCATGAAAATATTGTTACGATGCATGATGTATTCGCTGCACCTGGATCACACGTAAGTCAAATGTGTCATATTCTTTTCTCTAGAAATTTGCTCAGTTTCAGTAATGATTTAACCTGCTTAAACTTAAAGATTCGTTTAGATCATCTAAATATATATATATTGATGATATAGATGTACGTTAAATTATTCAATGAAAATGATAGAATTGATATAATTGATCATATTTTTTGATGTTTTAGGGTTTGGATGTTTATATGGTGCTTGATTTGATGGAGACTGATTTACATCAGATTATACACAGTCGGCAGGATCTTACTAATCAACATTATCAGTACTTTTTATATCAGATATTACGCGGATTAAAGGTTAATTTATCATTTGTTGACTTTATTGATAAGGAGAGAAAAAAAGAGATGCATTGTCACAATGATATTTTAGAAGTTATATCAAAAACAAGCGTAACACTAATTTCATATTTATTAAAATCAATTTTAGTGTACAAAAAATTTTTTTATCACAATTTACAAAATTTGTAGTATTTGCATTCGGTGGGTATAATGCATCGTGATTTAAAACCGTCAAATTTGTTGGTCAACAGTGATTGCTTATTGAAAATAGGCGATTTTGGAATGGCTCGATTGATTGAACAGCAATTGAATGATCAAAGCGTTTTATTAAATGGCAATTTTATGACCGTATGTTGGAGTAATTGTTTTTTCGAGTATATTAATTGATTTGGTTATGTGTTTTTCGATTATCTACATTAGCTATGCATTAATGGATTTAATTAATAGCTTTATGTTATATATTTTTTTATCAAGTTTTTAATATTTATTTATTTGTTTGTTTATAAATCAATATTTGTTTCAGCAATACGTCTCAACAAGATGGTATAGAGCACCTGAGTTGCTTTTCTCACTTATTGATTATGATACTAAGTAAGCTGGTATTCGATTCGGTACCTCCCTCTAATCTAAAGTAATTAACACAAATACTCGATTACTTATACTTCTTAAATCACTCCACAGTAAGCGTTCGGAACTGTAAAAGGATCATATAATCATTTACTACAGGGTGGATGTATGGTCAGCAGGTTGTATATTCGCCGAGATGCTTCTTCGTCGACAGCTATTTCCAGGAAAAGATGTCGGAAGTCAAGTTAAAATTATTGTTTATTATTTGGGTACACCGGAACAGGTAAGAAATTTGATTCTGAATCTTAAATAATTTGACAAATCCCAATAATATAATGAGTTTAAACTTGTCATTCAATAATTTATATCATTAATTTTATATCCTAATTTGACAAATTGATAATTGTTTCAAATATATCGTGAAGTAAGCGATAATGTAAACAGAATGTAAGGGAGATCAATATTTATAGTTCATAATAGTAAATAAATTACAGGATGTAATGGAACGTATTAGCTCGAATCTTATCATTCGGTTAGTTCGCATCGGATAATATTTTGGAGATATTCCTCGTTTTAGAATTTTAATGATTTTTCAAAGTAAATCCATCCTTCAGTTGGATTGAAAGTTGTGGACCAAAAAATCCGCTCCCATGGAATACAATTGTACCAAAAGCAAACCCTCAAGCAGTGGATCTGCTGAAAAAGGTACAAATTGTTGACGAGAAGATATGCAACAAGGAAGTAGAACTTTTCCCCTCCTATCTCAATCAATTCTCAATTTTATTAATCTTTCTAATCATTTCAGCTACTAGTAATAGCACCTTGGAAACGAATAACAGCAGAAGAAGCCCTATGTCACCAATATTTGGAGATTTATCACGATACAGCTAGTGAACCGAATTGTCCAAAAAAAGTAAGTTGGCAACCTTCTATTCAATTTAGCATAAAATTCTGTTGAAATCAAAAAAAGAAAAGGAAACAACTTTTAAATCCGAAAATATTCTGAAATGCAACTATGTTTTTCAAAATTATAAAAAAAAATTGAGGTATACTTCGACGCAAGAGAAATCGAAAGATTGAGTATCGATCAGTTGGAATGCGCACTTCTAGCAGAAACTTCAGGATCTTACACTCAGCAGTCCAGCAATAGGTAGAATCGAAGAAAAGAAATGTCAAAAATAAAAATTTGTAAACCGTCACAATGGGAGGTTTGATATAAAAACAATAACCAGAGCAAATAAACTTAGGATGGCTTTCTTAACTAGCTGTTGGAAAAGGTGAAAAAGAGTCGAAAACAACTCTAGCAATAATTTTTAATCCGATTCTTTTTTGTCAGCAATTCAGCACCAGTATAATAAAAATATTGATTTTTCCGTTTCCCAGTACAAACTTGCGAGCATCGCTTTAATGCTCCATAAAAAATGAACATTTATAATTGCATTCTGGACAAAAGTATTCTTTCTCGGGAATAATTGCATTTCTTTATTGCAGCTCACAGGAATATGATAAAAATATGTTTCAAAATTCAACATCGAAAGCAAATGAACAGTAAGGAGCAAAAGAGAAACCATTGCATAAGGAGGATAAAACTTGAGGAATCATATGTATTTTCATAATACCTCCATAAAAAGAAGATAGAGAAGAAATATGTAGCCTAGAAAAGGAATATGTCAACTGATGAAAGATCAAACTTATACTTTCAAAATAAAAACTTATTAAATTCAAAGTGCTCACATAGCTGGTGAAAACCAAATTATACAATTACATTCCCGAACAGATTAATTGGCTTCATCAGATTCCTTTTCTTTGTGATATTTTGCACGATTAATACGTCTGTCAAGCTCATCCAGGGTTATGGGACCACCAATGGGTTCAAATAAATGACGATTTTCTCGACGCAACTTCTCTGCATTTTCTGAAAACTTTAAAGTTAATCGATCTGATTTATACGTACATCACTTTTCTGTGATGTCTTCTCTGCTCAACGATCTAGGAAAACAAAAGGCGTTCCAAAGTTTTAGAACGAATTACCGAAGCTTACTAAAATATAAAATGATGGCAGCATTTAAAATAATTTAAATCGCAATAGTGAACACCAACCATAGCAGCTTAGTTGTGAGCCCTTAACTATTCCATATAAGAATCGTTCGCAAACCACTTAATTATAATATAAATGTAAAATTTATCCGAGTAAAATAACATTCGAACAGCAGCGACATTAGCCCACTTCTAGATTATGGTAATGCTTATCTCATTAGTTATGCATTACATATATGCATAATGATTCCTGAATATAAATATAGTGACCTTTTATGGTATCCAACGTTACATCCCGCTGTTGGTCAAAATTATGAAAAAGACCAATAACAAATGGAACAACTGGCAGAATGTACAAATGTGATTGCTTCATTTTCTGACTTACTAACATCAGTGAGACGACCAACAAAGCAGTCATATGTTGGCTGGAGATAAGTTTTCGTGTGTTCGCTAACTGAAACAGTTGTTCATCTATTAGAACATAACGTCTTTAAGTAATAACATTATCCTAAATAATGGGAATTGCCAGGATTCAATAATTTCATTTTCATTCCGCAGTACTATTAAGGTATCAGATGTACAACTCAACAGTACATTTTTTTATATCCATCACAATATACCGACACTAGAAGCAATCAAAACTCATCACCAAACATTTCTCGAACCCGTTTCTTATTCTCACTGCGATTAAACTGGAAAATATACAGTATGAAAAAATACTGGTTAAGGAAAATATTACAAAAAAGAGAGAGAGAAAAAAAACAAACCTCTAAAGCTCTTTTATGCTCTAACAAAACATTTTGCAGAGCTACCTGCTCCAGTGCCTGAAGAATAATTCTTATTAAAATTGCAATAGATAATTCATAAAAAAATATAAATAGTAACCGAAATTTTGAAAACCTTACAATAAAATGGCATTATTAAAAGTATTCACCCATAACATTTCAATTCCAAAGAGAAACAAAATTAATTTATATTAAATTTAGCACACTAAATAAAATATTGAATTCCAATAAGTTAAGATAACCTGTTGTTCGTAATAATTCTGTAACTCTGCATTACTTGACCACGATGTTCCCATTAAGAACATCAAAATCAAAAATACAAGCTTCAGATAGTTCCAAAACCACAGATCCCTGCTAGAAACTTAAATATATTTATTCGGCAATAAATAGCTGATGGTGCCTTTTGTAGTTACATTTGTTTTATATTTACAAAAACGGTAACAAAATTTCAGAAAAATCGCACAAGAAACTGCATGATAAACCGAAAAGTCTTAAAAATCCTTTTTTATATAAAACAGAAATATGTGAATACCTTAATTATTCAAATATTCAGCACATATGTTCTCCAACAGTTTTATAAGCATATGTTGAACACGGTCAAACGTTAAAAGCACCTGAAAGGAGACTCAATCGTTCAATTATTTTCATTTTAAACTATCATCGATTAAGCTGTTGGCAAAAGCGAAAGAGAATAATAATTTCTATTCTGGATATTTGGTTTCTTCCGCCCATGAAATTCCAACTTATGCGAGTCCCGAGTGATCAAATACCATTTCAAGCTTGAAAACTAATGACAGAGATGAAACAAACGAATTCAATGTTTTATTAGAATTTGAAAACCATAAATATCCGTAGAACGTAATAAAATAAACATATTTTCCAATCAAACTATGTAGAAATGCAACATCTCCAAAGTTCTTAACCTATATTCGATTTAAAGATCATGATTTGATAAGTCAGTATGTTGCAGTGTAAACTTATTAAAACTGTTTTCCAGGAACTTTTCGATGAATAAACTCAAAAAAATACATTTTCCAAAGCCTCAATTTTCATCATGAATTCGGAATATTTCGAAAACGATTACTGGTAGAGGAAAGCAAACAATATCGACCTATTCCACATCATTTCCTTCTTGCAATTCTTTGAGACGTTGTTTTACATCAGCTACCATAACATGCGGCTCATGTTCTGTCATTCTTTTCCGATATAATAAATCAGCTCGTCCTAGAAATAGAGTGTGAAATTTAGCATGACATAGTCTATTTCATTTTTTCATATAAATTCGATAACTTAATGCACAGTAATAATTTTAGCGTTTTCTAAATCACATATCATTCCAGCTTCACTCCATAAAACAATCTTCTAACCCTCTATGCATAATGATAAAGAACGAATCATTTTAAAGAATAAAATCGATTGAGAAAACTCACTTTTGATCCTTCCTGTTCTTTGTCCAAAGGAAGCATCAGTTTCAGAAGCTATGTAAGGAAGCGCTATGGCAAGCGGTATCAAGTGTAACACATTTTTATGTCGATAGGCGGAGAGTCCAGAAATAAGAGCTACGGCAAGACTTCCAAAAACTTTGTAAGGATAGGAATACTGCAATTTGGCAAGCTGAAAAATCATAATTCTCAAAACAAAGAAAGTTTTTCCTGTAGTTTGGATACAGAGAAAAATAGGCTCGATCTTTTAAATACATCAAGATCCCAAACTGTTAACATTGTACACGAAAACTACAGACTTAATGAAGTTACAAGAATATCCTGGCTCTAGCATCTCTATATATATGAGTCACTTGATTTTCCAAGAAAAAATGAGATAAATGTATGCATATGCTTTTACTAATATGGAAAAATAGTATGTTATGACGAGACAAATGAAAAAGAATAAATATGTGCCATGTACGATAATATTATTTGCTTACTATATTATTATTATTATTATTCACTTCAAAATATTTTTTATTTTAAAATAAAAGTAAATAATACAAGTGTAATGGTTAAAGATATCATAACGACAAGGACGTAGCAACAACATCACTAATAGATATACCTCGAATGCTATTTTCCTTTCATCCAAAGCTTCTTGAAAAGCTATTTCACGTTCAATCTGAAACATTTTTTTCTTCAACAAAATGTAAGCAAATTTCAATAAATAAATGATACATAATTAATTGTTATCCCTTAATGAGACTTAATAAGAATAGTTAAAAAGAGTGAAACTTACGACAATTGATTAAAACTAAGTTGAACAGAAAAAAAAATAAAACCAACGAAGCCAGCAAAAAAGAATTCAATTTCAGCACTTCAAACAACTACCTAACGACTAATAATCAGAAATACGTATAAGCACATTTAGATTCTTTTCGTTCAATTTTGCCATCATAATGCATAAACAATTTTAACTTTTTTTGATAGTTATTCAAAGATATCTCAAACTTCCATCATTTATTAAAAGATGAAATGTAATATTCCAAAGAGCAAAATTTTCAGAAAAGTTCTTTTTTTATTATTAATTAGGAGTTAATTGGTCATATTCACCATATATGGTCATTAAAACAGAAGGAAGTAAACACTATATCAGTAAAAGCAAGAATGAAATATTGTTAATGCAGAAGGAAATAAGAAACCTTTTGATTCTCAAGCAATCGAATGGCATCCACCACCGATTTGTCAATCATTTCACTTCTGTGATACCTTATGCAATTGACATTAATCTGAAATATATTAAAATTTAAGACTAAATCAACAAGATATACCAGTTTAACCCCAAAACCCCCGGGACTTCCCGAATGCATCGGTGAATTTTGTATGACTCAAATAATCCACTACTTGTAAACATACGCAGTCCGAACCAAGCAAAATTCGTACAAACGCAGCGCTACGTCTAATAACTTAAATAGGATATGCCTTATTAATTTTGGGTGACATAGGATTAATGTAAGTGTTTAATGCAAATTATGCTTTTAGTATAAATGATTACTTAATAAGTTAGTAGAAAATCTCCAATAAGTGCTACTTTAGGACTGAAAATTTTAAGTTAATATATTTTTACTAAAATTCATAAGAATATTAAGGAAATACTCAGCTATATCAATAACATGAAACCTTATTATTAGTAAGTTTTTTTTACAGACTACACTAGAGATTTGTATAAAGAAGTAAAAGCCATTTGATGCCGTCAGAAGAAACGACACATCGAAGTCCAGCAGAAGAACTTGAAGAATTAGATGCGAAGAAACTGCGTCAGGACTGCATAAACATTATGCCGAATGGGAATTCAAATGAGGTTTCACAATTTTTTTGAAAATTTTGAAGTTTCATATGAGATGA